AACAGACAAACATACAAGCATTCAAAAGTGGAAGTTGTATTTACATTTGAAAGAAGGCACATTGGCCAGACAGAAAGCTTACATTGTTTTAAAGAAAGAAAGAAGTACAAAGAAACAAAAAAAATGAGAAAGAAATAAAACTAAGACTCTTCGGCGGCACTGGTTGGATTGTCTGGAACTCAGAAGACTGCTGAGAAGACATGTCGGCCGCCTTTTTAGCCGCGAGCTCAGCATCTATTTCTTGGAGTGTTTGGTCGAGGCTCTTATCGGCAATAGACACGTCCAATGTTGCCTTCTCAAGAGTAGCATCTTGGGGAACCTTCTCACCTTCCTCATCTTGAGTCAAGCCCAGGACTTGCTCGTTTGGAGTAGGGGACTTGGCCCCAGCAGCTTCCTTTGACTTCCTCACCAGAGCTTCCTCCTCAGACTCAGAATCGTCGTCGGATTGGCTTGGAGTTAGAGGGAAAGACAGGACGAGGACGTCAGTGTTCCTGAGGGGGGAGTCCTCGGGGACTTAAAGCTTTTTCAGGAGAGCCATCCAACCAAGGGTGAAACCTTTGTTGCATGCCTGCTTCACCTGTTTCTCGTAGTCCGCCGTGACATCGGCCACCCCCTCAGCATAAGCCTTTTCATTTGCGGCCTTGATCTCGGCATCCTTAGTGGCCAAGGCATCTTTCAGTTCATTTTAGGCCTCGGCCATCTTTGTCTCGGCCTCTTTCTTTTCTGCCGTGAGGACCTTGGCAATGGCCTCGGCAGCGTCAGCCTTCTCCTCAGCTACGTCCTGAGCTTTTACAGCTGCCTCGACTTGGTCTGCCAAGGTCTTCATCTTGTCCTTAAGCCTTGTTGAGGGACTTTTGTAAAGCAACGACCTCTCTATTTTGTCGGCCAGCTCTTTCTTCATCTCAAAACCTTGCATTGAGAAAGAGTGGGCGTGCTGGATCGCCTGAAAGAAAATCAGCAGAACAAAAGTTAGTAAAATCCTCTGAGTATGAAAGAATGGAAGAGAAATACCATGCGTGGAAGACTTACCTGAACAGAGTGCTGAAGCATCAGAGCGAAGTTTTCATACTCGCTCATCTCGGCATTTCGGTTTAGATCGTTTGGAAGGAGCAAAGCCGTTGAGAGGGCGACACCGACTTCAAGATCGGTCGCGCTGTCACCGGCTCTGACCAGCTTGTCCTCAACGGTGATCTGGGGGGCCCAGGGGGCATCTGCTTTTATGGTCTCCGAGGTCGTGGCAGATTCTGACCTCGGCCTCTTTGACCGAGTTGATTGGGATGGCTTGGCCTCGGCGGGCCTCTTCTTGGGGGGAGAGGGGGTCTTTTTGCTCAAAGCCAACTTTGAAATTGGCAAGGTGTCCTCAGTATCAATCTGAGTCACCGTTGCTTTTGGCTGAGCCTTCTTTATTCTTTTTGGCTTTGACTTTGGTGGAGGCTGGGACTGCGCTGGTTGAGCGTCTACGGTGAATGGAATGTTGGCCAAAGGGTCTTTAGCAACTGCTTTCTGACGGCCCATTTTAGTAGCAAAAACAGTTCATCGTCGTCGTCGGCGTTGAGATGGTGGGATCAGTTGTGGAGCTGAGGAAGATGGCTGCTCTGTTGGATCTGAGGTTGACCCTTGATCTGGCCAAGAAAAGGACGTTGTTGGAGAAGTTGTGGCAGAAGGGGGAGAATGGCTTTTCTTCCTCTTTGGGACGTCGGGGAGTACCGACTTGTAGGTCGGGATGAAGTTGAGTACCAAAGGGGCTCTGCGTTTGTGGACTGGTAAATCCAATAGCTTCTTCAAGCCCTTGCTGGGGAAAAAGAACTTGCGGAAGCCTTTTTCTGGTTGGGGAAGAGTTGTAAGAAAAATAGACATTAGAATAAAACGAAGTATTGAAGACTTTAAAAAATAAGTAAGTATAAACACTGGGCTCTTACCATTATCCTCTACAAAAACTGTTCGAGGAAGAGGGTAGAGGTGGAGGTCCTCATCTGGAGCGAACTCCCAGTTCCCCGAGATAATGAAGTAATCATCCCCGACTCCCTTGTTGGAGTTTGGGAGGTCGGCAACGATTTTATACTCTGTGGACCTTGGCTTGAGGTAGTAAATATAGCCTTTCTCATTTTTAAGGCCACACATGGTGTAGCAGTATTGGATGTCGGCTAAGGTAACCCTAGCATTTTCTTGTTTGGCTAAGGCTATTATACCATTTCTGACTCGATAGGAATTGATGGCAAGCTGCATTGGGTTCAACTTATAGTAATGGATTATCTCACGGAAGAGGATGTCGAGTGGGAGCCTAAGTCCGCACTCAATAAAAGCTACAACAGGGAAGGGCATAAAATCAGTTGTAGGCATGATGGAGTCATCCTCCCCAGCCAACCTCAGATGAACGTCGGCCGGGATGTCAAACTCCCGCCTAAAGTGTTCTAACTTGGTCGGGGTGTCTACCCTATGCTTCCACATACCCATAACATCGGCTTAAATTGGAGGAGTTAGATTTCAGGAATAAGGTGTTTTGTAAGAGTTATAGGGACCTCGGCAAAAACCTAAAATATGAGCTGGGGTAAGAATTTGCGGGGATCGTTTCAGTTCTTCTTAGAATTTGTGGGTTCTATAAACAAATCCCAAACTTAGATCTATGGAAATGAAGATTGGAGGCAAGAATCTGGAAAAAAAAACACGGCAAACAGAAACAAGAGCAATGATTCAGAATCAAGAATAGGGGTGAATCATCAAGGACACTGTGACAGAGTGTGTGCCAGGGTGCAAGGCCAAGAACAGTGGCAGAATAAACAAGTATGTAGGTATTATGTGTATATTCAAGAAAAGTTTGGGCAAAAAGCAAAATCATGAGGAAAATATGCTCGGAATACATGGTTGGATTAAAAAAAAAAATGAACAACATTACAATCACAGTATACAGATATAACAGTTTGAGGAAGAATAAAAATCAAAACGGAGGAACAGTGACTTACAAGGGAAAATTAGAGTCGCCGAGATCAGACAGTGGCAGCAACTGGGAAAATGCAGCGAAAATTCTCGCCGGAGGGGAGTGAACGGAAGTAATTACAAAAAGCTTTGCAAAAACAATAATGGCAGATTTGGAAGAAAAAGTTAGAGAGAGGAAAAACTTCAGAAACGGTGGTGTAAAGTGAAAAGACGGAAAGAGGAAAGGAAGTTTTGTCTAAACACAAAAATGGCGGCAAAAAACAATTAATGTGCTTAAAACGACATACGTGCCAGACGGCGCACACGAGAGCAATTCGACTTAGTGGCGCGTGTCGAGTACAGCCCAAAGAGAGAGAGACGCGTAGCAAGAACGGTTGAATAGTCATGCGTGACAGCTCAATACGTGTGATAAAGCTCTTGGAATTCTTGATTTCATGGAGCAGTACCTCGGCTTGGAGGATGATCTTGGCTGAGAAACTTGAACAAATCCTGGTTAATGGTTCTGAAGCATTGATGGAAGTAGACTATGGATCTTGGTCATACTGAGCCAACAAGTTCTTATTTCGGCAATGAATTAAGAAACAAGCTTAGTCGACGTTATAGGAGGAAGTACTAATATAGGTTCCATCACCTCAGGATGCCGAGATAATAGAACCTAGGGGGCAGTTATGAGGATATATTTTCTGAATACCAACATGTGACCAAGGTGACGCCGACGTGTCAGCCGGGGTGTCACGTGTCCTGGTCGTGACACCGAGGTGATCTCGGCTAGGCCGAGGTTATCTACGAAGATATCGAAGTCCGGGATAAGCGGATAAGGGACAAGAGTCCTAGAACGAGGAAGGACTTCGGCCTAGATAAGGATAAAACTCTTACGGAGTTTATCTTTATCTATTGGAGAGTCCAAGCTATGCACTGAGTAGAAGTCCATTGAAGCTAGGCTTCTATTTGGACTAGGATTGTATTGGCTATAAAAGAAAGACATCCCCATGGGTCTAAGGTACACAATTTATATTCTGAATAGTGAGTTAAACACTATTGATTATCTTTGAGAGATAACTGACTTGATCGTCGGAGTGCCCCCGGGTGGACGAACCACCGCCGGAATCTCTTCTTTCTGTTATAGGTCATTCAGGCGCCATCTATTCCTCCAGTGTTCTCCAGCTGAGTACTTGATTGGCAATGTGGTCGGAAATTGACATACACAGTTATTGATAAAAGTAGATTAAGTGTCATATGAATTAAAATTTTAAGAGTTCTATGTAATTATGTTAAAATTGTAAGATTTATTATATTGTTTTCAAAATTTCAAGAAAATTAATGTAATTTACCTTAATAGTGTTCATTCATGCTTAAGTTACCTTGAAAGGGAAAAAATGGTATTCATGTTTAAGATGATTACTCAACCAACAGAGGCAAATATAACCACTACCTATCTAGTGTTGATTAATGTGAGTGAAATAATTTTACAATATGCGAAAAGCATATTGAAATTGAAATTGAAATTTTTGATATTATTTTCAGGATTCGATAATAAAACCCTTTATAGATAAATAATATGACGACTAGCATGAAACTAGAACAAAAATAATGCAAGTTTTCAATGTAATTTACCCTAATAGTGTTCATTCATGCTTAAGTTACCCTGAAATGGAAAAAATGGTATTCATGTTTAAGATGATTACTCAACCAAAACAGGCAAATATAACCACTACCTATCTACTGTTGATTAATGTGAGTGTAAAATAATTTTACAATATGTGAAAAGCATATTGAAATTGAAATTGAAATTGAAATTTTTGATACTATTTGCAGGATTCAATAATAAAACCCTTTATATAGATAAATAATATGCCGACTAGCATGAAACTTGAACAAAGATAATGCAAGTTTTCAAACCTATAATCGGAAGCTGAAAGCATCCTCTCCTCTTTACCCAATTTTTAAATAATAATTATTTTTTTCATAATTTATTTTAGTCATTCAAGGTGTTATTTGACACAGAGTCTCAAAATTAAAAAAAAAATTAAACCCAAGCAACAAAAAAAAAAAAACCTGAGAGAGGCTGACAAGCAATCAAATTAGTCAATCAAACCATCAAAATAACATCTGCACTACAAACCTCACTTATCTCCATATCCAGGCAGAGGTTAAGAAAGAAGAACAAGAATCTATAACCCAAAAGAAAGGAAAAAAAAAAAATGAATTGAAAATTAAAACGAAAAAAGAAAATAACGAAGAACAAGAAGAAGAAGGAACAACACCCATATTGATGAAACAATGTTTGGTCCCTAGAATAAAAAGTCATCCTCCACTGATCAAAGCAATGAAAAATTGAAATTCTACATTGCTGAATTCTTGTAGAGCTCTGAAGCAAGAAAAGGAAGAGGCAAAGAGAATCAAGAACAAGTCCTTTTTAAAAAAGCATCAATCCAATTCCGGATTCTCCACTCCATCAAAAAGCATTTCTTGGCAGCGGCATTCATGGCTGCAAAAGGCCTTCTCACCTCTGCAATTTAGAATAAGAAAGTAGATTTTTTTTTTTAATTAGTGGGGGATAATTACAAATATTATGGTTATGAGGTGGAAAATAAGATAAACTTTTTGTTCAATGAGAATAGTAAAAATGCAAGAAAGTTCATTTTAATTTAAATTTTTGTACAACTCATCAGCATAAATTACTTGCCTTCCAATTTTTTTGCAATATATATATTGTTTTATCATCAAAGTTGCTAACTCTTTCTTTAAAAAAATTAATCTTAACCAAATACATAATGGAAAATCATTTTTCTTACACTTTTTTTTATTTATAAAAAAACTTCACTTTTGATTCCTTTTACTTTTCAACATATTTTTTCTACTAATCAACAGATCCCATGAGAATTGCATGAAACTAATGTTGAATTATAAAAATGAACCCAACAAATACAAGAAAGCCACCAAACAAATACAAATGGAAAAAAGACCTGTTGAAAAGAAAATCAAATTTCCAATTTTCTAACCTCCTAGTAAGGTACGGGACTCTTGGCCAATGGTGTAGGCCGGTTTATTATAAATGGAAATAAGAGGAACATTAAAATTCAAAATATGTGATCCAGCTTGGAGAGACAAATAAACAAAGCTTTCGAAGACAGACAAAATAGAGTACACAATGACAATGAAAGTGAGAGACTTGAACCAATGTAAGATTAGAACACTGATGCTGTGTTTGATTGGGGATTTCAGGAGAGAATTGAAAAGAAAAAGGAAAATAGTAAGTGAAATGTGAATAAAATATACTTATATTTCACTTAATTTCACACACCACTTCTTTTTTCTTTTTCCAAATCTCTCTTCAAATTTCCTAACCAAACATAGCATGTTTATTCCAAAAACTTAAGTTATTAAAAAATAAGTTTAAAAATATATGTCAAGCTAACAGTTCTCACGTGCGATCCTATCTTGCACTTGAAGAGATAGATATGGACGATGTCAAATCAAGAATTGTGACAACAAATCAAACTTCCCTTATGAACAAAAACAAACAAAAATGCTTGGGAGCACTAATTAGTGCTCCCACTACTTAGGTGGCAGTGGGTCTCGCTATTAATGATGTGATGTTTTAGTTTTAGAGTTGTATTTATTTTTATTTTTTTTTTACTTTTTTAATACATTAGTGTTATTAGTGGTGATGTTTTTAGTGGGATGAATCATTGTTGCAAAAACAAATTCCAATTACATGCATGGCAGCAAAATTTGAAATGACCTCTTCAAAAAATTCAAACATGTTATTCAGCAAGGGATGATTCATGATTGCACATCTTTTATGCAAGTCAAATTAGTCTGTTACTTGTAACACTTTCATTACAAAACTTGTAAGTGTTTCTATGAAAATATGAGATTCACAATTGAAGTAAAATCTAAGGCCTCGTTTATATCTTATCTTATCCCAGATCAGTTATTTCATACGATTGAATTCATATCATTGATATATAATTAGAAATATCGATAATATTAGACAGTTTAAAGTTCAAATTCTCATAGGTATCGCCCAATATTTAAAGCAAAATTCATACTATTCAAAAGAAGGTGCAAGAACTAACCTGTACATGTAAATGTCCTTGCCCTGTTCAAGATTCTTCCTGCAAGTGTAGCACAAGCTGAGGAAGCTCTCCGATGGAGAGTTCGACTTTACATACGAAGAACAGTTCTTTTTCAATTCAGACAATCCAACAACACCACAACAACTCTCCACAATGCAGTTATCATATATATGGGTTGTTTTCGGATTAGGCCCATGAGAGATCACACACGTATAGTCCTCAGAAAGCTCCATATCACTAGCAGAAAGAAAATCAGGGAAAGCCTGAGCAGAGTCCTCTCTCTGATTGCCAGAATTCACAGACCCAAATGGGGATGAAGAACAAATGAATTGTGAAGTCCGGGTTTTGATTCCGAAATCGGCTGGAGATTTGGGTGATTCAGAGGGAGAAAAGGCAGAGGTTGGAAGTTGAGGAATTTGAATCTTGAGTTTTGATCCAAACAAGACCATTCTGTTATTGGGTTGAGAAAATTTTCTCTCAGTCATATCATCATCCAGTGAGTGAACAATAGCAAGACCAATGCCTTTCGGGTTTAAATTTTCCCAGGAGTGTTTGTTTCCTGAGAAATTTTTGGGGAATTGGTTGCCAACAGGGGAGAATGGTTTGATGTCAGAAATTGAATTAGGAATAGGACTCATTGTTTCAGTTTCAGAGTGACCCATTGCTTGAAACCCATTGAAAAATCTTGGGGAACCAAAGAAAGAAGAAATGGGTATGGTGTGATTTGGGGGGAGAGAAGCTAGAGAGCTCTGGTCCGCCGTTAGAGCTTGCTTTCTCGTCACTGCTCTATATCTATTCCTCAGCATAATGACCAAATTCGATAAATTCCACTGCAAATCACGGATTCAGAACTTAAGATAGAGAATCATAAAAAGTAAATCATCTTAAGAATTAAACTCAATGATGAGAAATGTTGCCCGAAACTCAGAGAATGGAAAAGTCTCCTAATTTCTTTAGCTTCCATGGCTGACTTTTTTTTTACTTCTTCTTCTTGATTTGTCTGTGTGTGATCTTGCTCCATCAGCGAGAACAAGAATCGATTGACACTCGCATGCAAGCCATGCGATCAACGTTGAGCTGCTCTGCCATTGACGTGTGTGTTGTTGATCTATGGACTCTCAAGTTCGTGCATTGAATTTTGCTCTGTTCTCTCTTCTCTCAGTGGGTTTTCATTTTCATTGTCATCAATTACTTATATGCTGGGTAGAGAAAAGAGATAAAGTTAGGGAGAAAAATGTTCTAGCAAATTATTTAATACTTCTAGGACACTACTTAATACTTCTAGGACACTACGTAGTTATATTTTAAGTTAATTATTAATTATTTAAGTTTATATTAATTTTTTATTTTTAACTTAAATTGTGAGTTCTTATTCATTTTCACCCATCAAAATTATATAAAATACAATGTATTTATACTCCGAAAATATTAAACGATCACCCAAAATTCTATAGGCTGGTGATATTTTAAATAAGGAAATCTGTTAAATGGGAGTAAAAATTAAAGAGTCATGCTAGGATACTAAATAGTTTAACAGATTTTTTATTTAACTTTTTATGTGGGTGTGGTTTTATATTTATGTGGGAGATTTGTTAAAAAATATAAATTATTTAAAATTTATATTAATTTTTAAAATTAAATATAATAGTGATATTATTTTAGAAAAAAAATATAATAATTATAAATTAGATATAATATTTTATCTTATTAAATTAAAAAAATTATTTTATTTTTTTATAACTAAAATAACCCAAAACCCAACTCAACCCATTTTCCAGACAGGGGCATAATCACTTTATTGAACTCATTCCATTAACACATATGAGAGACAATGATTGATTTATTATAGCATGTGGCCAACATGACATGCTATAATTGTCTCATTGTATTATTGTATAGGCAACTTGTTACTTATTTTTATAATATATTTTACTTATTTTTGTAATAATTTTATTTTTTAATAAAATTACTATAATTTATTATTTAAGAATGAAATTATTTATTTTTTAGTAATGTTAGTATTATTTCTAATCCTTCACCAAATTTTTTATTAAATTTAAATTTGATGAAAATTTTAATAAAAATAATATTTAAATTCATTCATCAAACTTAAATCAAGTTTTCATCAAAACATTTATGGAATGAGAAATGAATCAAATCTTTCATAAAATTTTTAACAACTTTTTTTCCTCTTAAATTTAATAAAGGGATATTTACACACAAGTTCTGATTTATGAACTTACTCCAATCCTAACTAAGTTGGTGTTTGGGATAAATTTAAAAAGTACACTTTTTCTACTTACACACACTTTTTTAGGTCGCATCAATCAACATCTATCAGCATATTCTTTCTACTTTTCTAACCACTTTTTTTTACTTCTCTATACATTTTTTATTTTCGATTTTTTATTGATAAATCCAATTTAAAGATGTTCTATCCCAATAAGTCCACAAAGGAAAGTTACAACCTAGTTAATCTCATGTATTTATACTTTTTGTTAAACTATTATACCCTTATATCTATTATTGATATATATTATATACAATAATGATATACATATTTCTCTCTGTTTTTGTTGTGGTAGGTTTCGTTCCTATAGAAGAGAAGACGAAGACACAGAGTTTGTGATAGTGTTTCGTTGCGGTAGAGTTTCATTCATGTAGGAAAGAAGATGACGACTTAAAGTTTGTGCTCTGTTTTTTTTTTTTTCCTGTCATAGTTACTATTTCAGCCGAAAATCAATCGGAAATCAAAGGAAACGAGGAGGATTTGAATAGAAGGAATAGATAAGATGGCTTACAAACTTGTTCAGTCGATTGATTGAAACCCACATTCGACTGGATTGAATCAAAGGGAAGGAGGAGATAGAGGAGTTTGTGCTCTGTTTTTGATTTTTCTGTCAATTAGTGTGAATGTTCACATTTCATATTGTTCTTCTTTCGAATGATTTCTTCTTTTTTCACAATTGTTAAAATTATCGCCCACCAAGTGTTTGATTATATGTTCAAATAAGAAATTCAGCAAAAAAGGTTGTTCCCATTGGAAACAACATCTCTAGTGATGTTTGCTTGGATTAGTGAACATGATTCTATTATTATCATTGATTTTGATTTTTTGTTATTGGATTTCAATGTAGTAAAAAAATTTTGAGATTGGTAATGTGTCTGATATAAAAATGATGTAAATGTCCATATTATTAATCAGTGTTAATATTCACATTAATTTGAATTGAAAATTTTTTATGTGAGTATCAAACACATTCACGTGAATATTCACATTACTTTTGTTTTCATATCCACATGCATGTGAATATTCACATTACTTTTGTTTTCATATCCACATGCATGTGAATATTCACATCTCCAGTAATATTTGCTTGGGTTAATGAGCATGATTCTATTATTGTCATTGATTTTGATTTTGTTATTGAATTTCAATGTAGCAATGATTTTTTGAGATTGGTAATGTGTCTGATATAAAAATAATGTAAATGTTGATATTATTAATCAGTGTTAATAATTATATTAATTTGAATTGAAAATTTGTCATTGTGTTGTTAATTGGTGTTAATATTAGTCACACACCCATACAATATTGAATGATGAATATGTTTTCGTTGTGTTCATCACCATTGTAACAAGGTGATGTTAAGGTTCATATCAGTATTGCATCAAATTACACAACCACAAGCCTCAACTTTCATTTTGAATACAAACATGATGTGAATATTCACAATAAAATATACAAATGTAAAGGTTCACATGAATTCAGAAATATAGATAAATGCACTATGGTTTCAAAGTATTAATTACTAATATAGAATGATGATATTAAAGTTCACATCAAAATTGCATTGCCCACATATCACGTTAAGCCAATGATTATGTGTACACAATTGTAAAGCAGCTAACAACAATGTAAAGGTTCAAATCGATTTTTTAATATCTAAAAATATGACTACATTAGCATTGTATTAACCACAAACTATCATTTTTGTGTGTATACAAACATGAAGTGTACATTTATGCACAATTAGATTATTGATGTGAATGTTAATATCACGAATAAAACATCAAACAAATTAATTTAGTTACATTAAGCCAATGATTATGTGTACATAATTATAAGACAACATAAACCAATATAAATATTAATATTGACTTTCTAGTAACAAATATTATGACAACATATCATTGTATCTTATTAAACACAATCAAAATAACTAATTATAGTTCTTTTGTCCAGTGTATTCTAATATTTACAAAATCGTAAATGATGTGAAATTCATGTTCATATTTTTATCGCCGATGTAAAATATGTCTTTTGATGCCTTGTACGTCTCTAGCACGCATACGATGACATCGTTGAACTTCATGCATTTGTTGAGGTCAACTTTACCGATCATCAACACATCAAACAACTGCCAAAATGGCGTTTCCTTTAATCAATCCAGCTGAGGATTTAAAAACTTGGTGATGGTCATCAGTTTCACTAACCCAATGATGTTAGATCGGTAGTTAACCTTTTTCAAGATCACTTTCGGGGGCCTGGCTATTTGTTTAAGTTTGTCTTTGACGTGGAACTGTTCTTTTTTCTTTTGCCATGAAATCTATGAGAAACATCTGTTTGTTCAATTATAAACAAATTTACTGTTAATGGTCACAAATGGTAAATCATAACAAGTGCAAACTATATGTGTTGTGAATAGTTGAATGATGTGACCAGGGTTGCATTGAGCAAAACCATGATATCAATATTCACATGAACACTGTACAACATAGAATAAAACAATAAAAATCAAATAAATGGTGTGAACATTCACATTGATCATATATCATGTCATTAGTTCATGTATCTGAAAAATGAACAAAATTTTGGGAGGTCATATCATTTGATCATAATCAACAACTCCAACAAGGATAACAACCAAAAAATGAGAGGAAAATAACAGATGAAATATGGAATAATACCATATTACAATTATTAAACTAACACGATGTATACATGATGTTAATCTTTCCATCGTTACATTATATATTTGATTGTGAATGTTCACAGCCAAATATATGGTATGAATATTCAATGTGAATATTAACATTATGTTCAGAATGTGAATATTAACATTATGTTTATAATGTAATTATTGGCATTATGTTCAGAATGTTACAATGTGAATATTAACATTATGTTCAAAATGTAATTATTGACATCATGTTTAGAATGCACATATTGACATTGATATCACTCAATAACAAGTGAAACAATATGATGTTATTATTTACAACATGCTTACAAGAATTTAGATGTAACCAAAATAGGATTGACAATCATCCAAAATTTGGTCTATAATTATTTCATGACCATCAACAACCAACAATACCAACAAGTTTGACATTGACACAAGGGAGGAGATAAGGAATGTTTTACAAAATAATAACACATGACAATTTAAGACAAATAAGTCATTACCAATATTTGACAATCTGATGCAAATATTGACATTATGTACAATGGGATTCTCATTGAACCAAAAGAGGGTTGACAACCATAAAAAATTGGGAGCTCTAATTTTTTATAACCATCAACAAGCAATAATACCAACAGCTCCGTAAATATTTACACCATATTTCATTGATGTCAGAAAGTGAATATTGACATTATGGTGATAATGTGAATATTGACATTAATATCACAATGTGAATATTGATATTATGCTCAGAATGTACATATTGACATTGATGTTAATCAATAACAAGTGAAACAATATGATATTATTTATAGTATGTCTACAGGAAATTACATGTAACCAAAACAGGGTTGGCAACCATCCAAAGTTTGGACTGTAATTATTTCACGACCATCAACAACCAATAACACCAACTAGTTTGACATTGACACAAGGGAAGAGATAAATAGTGTATTACAAAACAATAACACATGATCATTTAAGACAAACAAGTCATTACTAATATTTAACAATCTGATAGAAATATTGACATTATGTATAATAGAATTCACATTGACCCAAAAAAGGATAAACAACCATAATGTGAATATTGCCATTGATGTCACAATGTGAATATTTACATCATATTTCTGGGTGAAGATTGCGGATTCTATGGACATCAACAATTAACAATAAAGAGTTCATTACTGTAACAACCCTGACCTATGATTAGCCAATCAACCATGATTAATTATGCCTAATGACTAATT